ATGAGCAGTCGCGTGCTCGCCGTACGCCCATCGTTGACATAGGAATGGTCGGTAAGCGAACACATTGGGCTCTATGGAGGCCCTACACTACTATACACTCCGCTACTATACACTACACTATACAATACACAATGGGCTCTATGGAGGTCCGTCGTTAGTTGTCAACCGGGGTGGTCGTTAAGTGGGGTTCTACTGTATGTGTATGTTTCTCCAATTAAATCATATTTTCCTAATTTCACTGTGAACAATTCTGGGAAAAGTGTCAGCTTGTCTGATTTCCCTCCGAATATGCATATTGATATTTCTGAGTAGAATGCCTTTTCATAGTCTAAAAACGTCAGGTTCATGGGTAATTGAAATTAATTGGTATTTTCCAGAATGTGATTACTGATATGCATAGGGTCGGGCACCCATATGCAACTAATTACAACAATTTGGTGGGCTTTGGCAGGACCTGTCACCATAAGAAATTACGGAAGGTCGAAAATATTAGTGGTGTAGCAGCCAAGGAATGGAAGGAATCCAAGAGTACATCGTATTATGTAACCCTATTATCCGTAAATTTTGCGGATAAGAGTCACGTGAAACATACATCATATTATCCAGATACACAAACATGGACACACGCGAAAATACGTAAAGACACAAAAACAGACAGAACATACCCACTGAAACATGCATAATAAACACACGACATGGATAAACGGAGAAATATAGAGACACACAGAAACATGGAGACATTCAGAGACACACACAAGCACACCAATACAGAGATCGAGAGACACAGACACCGAGATGCAGGTACTGGACTTAGAGACACACATAGAGATAAGTAGAGAAAGGTAAAGTACAAAGACAGAGATGGCGAGAGACATATAGACAGAAGCACTGAGACACCTAAGAGATATATGGTTGAGCAACATGCAGGTACTAGACTTAGAAACACACGTAGAAATAAGGAGAGGAAGGTAAAGTACAAAGACAGAGATCTAGAGAGACACATATAGACGGAAGCACTGAGACACACGAGAGATATATGGTTGAGCAACATTGAGTGTGTGCAGACACTCTGTTATGTTGTAGGTAACGCAACATTATCAGTGGTTTTCATGGCCAGACACATGTGCACACACAAACACACGCGCGCCGGTATGTGTGTAGGCCCTGAGAAACCCCTTAATAAACCCCTCGACACGCAACAGGCTCCCGTTTTGTCAACCAGGAATAACGTGGACTAGCAGCGTGCGTGATTACGATATTGCGTGTCGTCACCGTGAAGTGAGATCACGTGTGAGGGGCGGGGCTTAATTATGTGACGTCACATACCCGCAGGCCACGCCCATTATCTAGGATTATCTGCGGATTATTCTATACATTTTTGTGGAATGGAACCTTATTATCCGTGAATTTTGAGGAAAAGAGGAGTCATGTGAAAAAAAAACATTATCCGCGAATAAACATCGACACACAAACATGGAGACACAAATCATCCACATACATAAAGACACAAAAATAAGCATAACACACCCAGAGACATGCATACACACACAAAGACACGGATACACAGATAAATACAGACATGGAGACACTCAGAGACAAACACATGCACACAAATACACTGAGATAGAGAGACACAGACGTCGAAATGCATGTACTGTACTTAGAGAAACACATGAAGATGAGGATAGAAAGTTAGAGAGTACTTAGGTAGGCCCGGAGAAGCCTCATTATTAATCCTTGCTTCATGTTTAAAACTCTTGATCCGCCCTCGACAAGCAACAGGCTTCCGTTTTGTCAAGCCTGCAATAACGTGGACGAGCAGCGCGCGCGTGATGATTGCTTGCCGTCACCGTTGAGCTTGATCACGTGTGGGGGGCGGGTGCTAAATTTATGACGTCTCACATCCGCAGGCCACGCCCACTCCACGCTGGCCCCGCCCCCTACATCCTGCCCGCTCACTGCTCTATTAAGTTTTGATTTAAAGCTTTCGCGACTGCAGGAATTAATATTCTTGGTTCTTTCGGTAAAGTCACGTAGAAGGGAAACAATAAAATAAAAAAAATATTTTTATTATTTCACAATAAAACAAAAATATATTTGTATTATTTCATTGTTTTCCGTCTACGTGACTTTACCGAAAGAACCAAGAATATGCTCCATTAAACTTTGGTTTAACACGTAGGCTTTCGCAGCCAATATCTGTAATATAGGTTTTTTGGGTTAGACCTTGTAAATATGAATGTGGCGTTAAAGTCGCAACTATGTGCATGCATAATGTACGCTGATTACCATATGAATAAGCCAACCGGCAACGGATAGCCATTATAATTCATGTTTTCATCTCCCCCTCCTTTGCACATCACAAGATATCATCACATCTATCCGTCTATTTAAAGAACAAAATAGAATTTCTCCACAGATCTGGCTGTCGCCTGACGAAGCTAGTTGTAATGACTGGCGAAACGTCGTACTCGGATTGTAAATGTTCTGTATTTGCTCTCCAACACACCGGTGTGCTGTACCAGTAACGAATTGGCCACATTCTGTTTACGTTGCAACCCTTACTAATTTGCTGTGTCGGGTGGTTGCGGGTTTAATATTTACGCGATCTAACCCAAAAAAACCTCTTAAGCCTTGTCTTCACAATCGCTGAACGCGGGTCCACAATGCAAAGCAGTTGGCAACAAAACGGTACGATCTAACTTGCAATATACTGTATGTGTAAATGTCACGGTTGTTAAAATGAGCACGGTTGTAAGAGCTTTGCCTGTCAGTCACAATTTAAAACATTTCGCTCTCTTCATAGATGTTCTAAATGAGTAAAACTTAGGAAGACGATATCCGTTGAATTGTTTAGTGCTGCAAGATTAACGTCCCAAGCGGCTGTTCGGTGTGCAGAATAATGGTGTGATGTATAGATGTCTTTAAAATAGTTTTTTGTTGTTTTGCAAATACACGCTTTCGTTCGCTTTAGATAGTTTCTGATACTTTACATAAAGGGGAGTGTCTGGACTGAAAAGAGGCCACTGACTTCGGCTAAACGGGACATTTCACGAGTGGATCACAATTTACATCGTCCACTGTGTACTCTCTGCCTTCCCCGTCGTCTCCTGCCTCTAGTCACGACTCCTCGCTACTCTCCCAATCTTACTGGCCGTCTATCTTAGTCCTCTATATAGCCTCCCATATCACCCCTTCTCTCATCATCATCATCACGGTGGCTAGGAGATGTTAACTACCTCGCCTGGTGTGCAGGAGGTCGTGGGTTCGATCCCGACCCTGACGCCTGCTGCTGTATATTAGGGGGGCCCCCTCCTGTCAATCTCCCCATCCTCCCACGTCGTCACCCCTCCCCCCACTGTAGATTACGGCCCCCCACCGTAAATCGCCCCCCCCCCCCACTGTAGATGACGGCCCCCCACCACTCAATAGGGGAGCTCCCTCCCCCTCCTGTCAATCTCCCCATCCTCCCACGAGGTCACCCCCCCCCCCCCCGCAATGGACAGTGCCGACCCGGGGGGAGGGACGGAACGATAGAGCTCAGTCGGCCCTAGCTGGTAAAATAAAATAAATACTAGTTTAGTTAATCTGTTCCTCATTATCATCTCTTCTAACTCTTAATCCCCTCCTCATCTCCCTTTCTCTTCCTCCTATCTCTCTCTATTCGTCCATCGTTCATCATATTTCTGTCATCTATTATATATTCTTTATACCCTCTTTCGTTTCCCATTACTACTCTACTAACACTACCCCAATCCTCATAACTGTCCACAGACAGAATTACAATGATCCATACTCTTTGGTTCTTTCGGTAAAGTCACCTGATGAAGGAAGCTGGTGTTGCCTCCGAAACGTAGTGATTTAATTTAGTTGTTTTCATTTTTGTTTTATTTTATTTAATCAATTAAATTTGTACCTACGTGACTTTGCCGAAAGAACCAAAGAGTATGGATCCTTGCAGTCACGAAAACTTCAAATCTAGAAGAATTACAATGAGTTTAAAAAACCGCGCCAAATCGCTCATGCAGCTTAATACTGTACACGTGCAGCCGTGAATAGTTTGTAAATGAGGCCAACCCCAGAGAGAAATGCTAACATTACATATTCCTGGGCATTCTCTCTGCCTCAAGGACTCTAAAAACAACCTGTAAATAACGTTTATACTGAGCTATCTCTCCTGCTCAAAATCTGATAAACTAAAATCTGATCACAACACACATGAACCTGTACTGTACCTTTACAATAAATCTCATCAGAAATCACTTAACCATAACGCACCTGTTTATTTTGGAAAACACCATAACCTGTTCACCAATTTTTCAAAGTTACTAAATACCACTCATGTAAAACTAACTTCATCCTGAAGTCTCTAAAAACATTCATATACGTGTATATAAGGACTATTTCCCGGATGCATGGCTTGTGTGTGCCCTGCTGCATAACGCAACAAAGATATATAAATATAAAAAATAGTCCTCCTGTGCCCGTACGTTTCCCTCTCTCGAACTACTCAACACTTCAAAACGTTTGTTTGAGGGGCTCCGAAGTAAAACTACACTCACGACCATCACTCACCACACACCTCAGCAGACTCGCGTGAAGCCGACATCCCCCGATGCCCCCCCCCACTGTAGATGACGGCCCCCCACCACTCAATAGGGGGGCTCCCTCCCCCTCCTGTCAATCTCCCCATCCTCCCACGAGGTCACCCCCCCCCCCCCGCAATGGACAGTGCCGACCCGGGGGGGGAGGGGCGGAACGAAGGGGGCGGGGACTCGCAATGGCCGCTCGCTACGACGTCGATCTGAACGATCGTTACAGATGCATATTTGTTAATCCCTTATCAGTGCCCTACCTTATTACAGAGCAATTCAGACCTTATTGGTCACCCCGTGCCCTTATAAATCTCAACGTTCATCCCACAAGGGTCTCATCACAAGGAAGAAACACAACATTTTTTTAACTCAATTTCCCTGTACAAGAATACGCGCGAACCGTATGGGTTGACAGGTAAGCAGATGCACACACACACACTCGAACGTGATTGTGTTTTGCCGATATCGCTGATGCTCCTGTGCGTCTTTTTATCGTGGAAATGTCGTGGGTTTACTCACCAAACGCACCGGTGTTGCTGTTTCCGTGACAAACCTCACTAATTATCTGTGTAGGGTGAGGCGGCTTTAACGACATTCATATTTACGCGATAGAACCCAAAAAAAAACAATTATGGATAATGTTTGCATGTCCGTATTCAGGCAAGATTTGGTTTAATTTTGCCAACGGGTAAAACTCATTGAGCCAATATATGTTCCATTTTTATTGGGGACCTCGTTACAGAAACCTGGTTACAACAAAATAAACATGCACAAAGCAATACACGGTCAAGTTCCGAATGGCAAGGTCGTGCATCAACATGATAACACGTGTGCAATGCGAGGAGAACACATCACATACACACGAAAAAATATAACCTTACTAAACTCTGCAAAGCAGAGCGATCGTTTGCGCAGGGATATTTTTTCCCCTTGATAAATGCACTGAATAGGCGAGGGGAAACTTATTTTAAGTTGACGGAGGACCACAGATTACAGGTGTGTGTACAACTGCTTGTGCGTGAATTTTAATCTCCCGCCGTGTAATGGTTGGCAGCGCACCGCGGGCTGACAATCCAGAGGCCGATTCTGTAGCCCGGCGCGGCAGCTGAAACGTTGGACAACTTTCTTCAATGCTTAAATTCCCACCACCCAGCAGCCCACCTCGCCGTCCCCGTCCACCCACCACGGTGGCGATGTGTTAACAACTCCCGACCCTGACGCCTGCTGCTGTATATTTGGAATCTGTGTCTCTCATCACCACGGTGGCTATGAGATGTTGACTACCTCGCCTGGTGTACAGGAGGTCATGGGTTCGATCCCAACCCTGACGCCTGCTGCTGTATATTTGAAATCTGTGTGCCTCTCATTACCACGGTGACTATGAGATGTTGACTACCTCGCCTGGTGTACAGGAGGTCATGGGTTCGATCCCGACCCTGACGCCTGCTACCGTATATTTGGAATCTGCGTCTCTCATCACCACGGTGGCTATGAGATGTTGACTACCTCGCCTGGTGTACAGGAGGTCATGGGTTCGATCCCGACCCTGACGCCTGCTGCTGTATATTTGGAATCTGCGTCTCTCATCACCACGGTGGCTATGAGATGTTGACTACCTCGCCTGGTGTACAGGAGGTCATGGGTTTGATCCCGACCCTGACGCCTGCTGCTGTATATTTGAAATCTGCGTCTCTCATCACCACGGTGGCTATGAGATGTTGACTACCTCGCCTGGTGTACAGGAGGTCATGGGTTCGATCCCGACCCTGACGCCTGCTGCTGTATATTTGAAATCTGCGTCTCTCATCACCACGGTGGCTATGAGATGTTGACTACCTCGCCTGGTGTACAGGAGGTCATGGGTTCGATCCCGACCCTGACTCCTGCTGCTGTATATTTGGAGTTTGCGGTGTCTCTTTCCCCGTGGTCGCATGGATTCTTCTCCAGTTTTCCCCTCCACATTTAGAAACAGGCGTTTAGAGTATTTGACTTCTATACATTTCCACATAAGCCACCTCGTTGAGGTATCATTTGTGACCAGGAGGCTTCTGGAAAAATAGCTAATAGCTCAGTCGGCCTTAGCTGGTAAAATAAAAAAAATACTAGTTTAGTTAATCTGTTCCTCATTATCATCTCTTCTAACTCTTAATCCCCTCCTCATCTCCCTTTCTCTTCCTCCTATCTCTCTCTATTCGTCCATCGTTCATCAGATTTCTGTCATCTATTATATATTCTTCATACCCTCTTTCGTTTCCCATTACTACTCTACTAACACTACCCCAATTCTCATAACTGTGGACAGACAGAATTACAATTATCTATACTCTTTGGTTCTTTCAGTATAGTCACCTGATGAAGGAAGCTTGCGTTGCCTCCGAAACGTCGTGATTTAATTTAGTTTTCATTTTTGTTTTATCTTATTTAATGTATTTAATTTTTACCTACGTGACTTTATCAAAAGAACCAAAGAGTATGGACCCTTGCAGTCACGAAAACTTCAAATCAAGAAGAATTACAATGAGTTAAAAAAACCGCGCTAAATCGCTCATGCAGCTTAATACTGTACACATGTGCAGCCGTGAATAGTTTGTAAATGAGGCCAACCCCAGAGAGAAATGCTAACATTACATATTCCTGGGCATTCTCTCTGCCGCAAGGACTCTAAAAACAACCTGTAAATAACGTTTATCCTGAGCTATCTCTCCATGCCCAAAAACTGGAAAAGTAAAATCTGATCACAACACACATGAACCCGTACTGTACCTTTACAATAAATCTCATCAGAAATCACTTAACCAAGACGCACCTGTTTATTTTGGAAAACACCATAACCTGTTCACCAATTTTTCAAAGTTACTAAATACCACTAATGTAAAACTAACTTCATCCTGAAGTGTCTGAAAACATTAATATACTTATTTAAGGACTATGATCCGGATGCATGGCTCATGTGTGCCCTCCTGCATAACGCAACAAAGACATATACATATAAAAATACTCCTGTGCCCGTACGTTTCCCTCTCAAACGACTTAACACTCAAAAACGTTTGTTTGGGGGGCTGCTATGTAAAACTACACCACCCACCCCCCACCACCACCCTCCCCACCACCACCCTCCCCACCCCCCCCCATCACCACCCTCCCCACCTCCCCCTCCCGTATACCAGGCGAGGTCGTTAACATATCCTACGTGGTGTTGCATCTGTGTTGGTCCCAGGAAGCGTGCTGCTCGCTGACGCCGGTGTGTCTACATGTTTGCGATGCTCTCTACAAGCTACCAACACCGGAGCACACTACGGTACTGAGAATGTGGAACGGGAAGCGGCGGTGTGGGCCCATTGGGGGCCCTGAGCAGATACATTTTATTTTGGGTGCATCACGTGACTACAAGCATTATGCGCTGGAGCAGTTGAAATTTACTTTCTCTTCCCCACATTCAGGACCTCCTTCAGACATTTAATCAAGATCATTAAAATTCTCAGACTGTGCATTGCTCATTCTCCCATGGTCTAGGCGTCACACTTGGGTGGTGACGGTGCCTTGGCAATTGCGGCACCTAAACTCTGGAACTCGTTGCTCCTTCGAGATCAGGACTTCCAAGACAAAACATTTCAAATTTGGACTAAAAACGCATCTGTTTAAAATGTCTTTCTCACTTTTCCTTGGTTGACATTAAACTATGTTACAGCTTCCCATGCATAGCGCCCTGAGAACGATTGTTTAAGGGCGCTTTATAAATTTAAATTATTATTAACTCAGTTTACAGAATAGTACAAAGTTTCACGAAACAAATGCTTAAATACGTTGTGACTTGTTTTGCACAGTGCCATTGTAATGGTGAGCTTTTTAATTGTTATCAGGATGTGAATTGAGATATTTGGCACAGCTCTGCTGTTATTTTTTTTCCATATGCATCCAGGACCCCTTGAGCTGTTTGGAGCCATACACTTTTTAGTTGCTGAACCCTCATCACAATCCTACGCTGTGAACGCATGTAAATTAAATGTTTCTGAACAATGTTTTCCTGATGATCTGTTCTGACAATTCTGTCAATAAATACGTTTTCAGAAACGCGATGTAATAAACGGACCAATGGAACACTTTGTGGCACCGTTGACCAGAAATGTTGGCCTGATTAAATTCTGCGACAAAGCGTTCATAACGGAATTAGTACATTTGACAAGTTTGACGCGAATACGTTACATTTTAAGTAAAATAAACAAGGCGTAGACCTGGTACATGTGTAGCGTGGTGACACCCACTTTTATTAGGTTTTACGGAGGAAGGTACTCGTACAGGCTACAATTATGATTGCGAAGATAACATGAATCATGAAACATGTCTCACAGCGTGAAAAGCAAAACTGTAAAATGGTGTTTAGCAGTGACAGCTGTGGTGACGACATGTCAACTACCTCGTCTGCTATGCAAGGAGGTCGTGGATTTTATCACAACCCTGATCTGTTGCTCCACCCAAAGCTTCGGGTCTTTTCAGCCATAGTCATGCCCTCCCTTCTCTATGCTTGTGAAACATGGACCCCTCTAATGGAACATCTGCGCCGATTTAGAAACATTCAGGCCTGCTTGCCTACGATCCAAAATGGGCTTAACCAGGCATCTATTCACCGGATAAAGGGGGCTAAACAGGCGTGGTACGGGTTAGAGAAGAGATGGAATGATGCGGTACAGGAGGTTATGGAGCTGGGTTGACTTGCCAAAGACTGGTACGAGTGGTGTCAAGATCGGCCTCTATGGAGACTCGTGAAGGATGCCACTGGGCAGTTGGAGGCCGTCGCCTTCCAACAACAACAGAGGGAAAAGGAGCGACGCTTACGACGAACGGAGAGCCAGGCGGCTAAAACACAGCAAGATGGCACAGCAGGGGGCACAGGAGGTGCATCTGTCAGTCATCTCAGTCAACCCATTGCACCTGGGTCTATCCCTTGACCCACTGTCAGTGAGCCTTCGACACTCCACGTGGACTCAATGCACCTGGCCTACCATAGGCGGCGTGGTGACATCACCTCACTCAGTGGCGAATGGCGGGTATTTGTACGCGCGTGCCTCGTCTATGTCTTTGTGTGTCTGTGTGCATGCCTGCCCCGTGTGTAGAATTGTGTTGACTGATTGCACCCCTTCCAACAATAAAGCCAGCATCAGGACTCGCGGTAAGTCAGAATCAGAATATTTATTGTCATTCGCAGCACGCAGTACCTCAATAAAAATGTACATTAAAATCTTAACTCTTGATACATTACGAAAAATACTTACCAATCACATTTACATTTCCGATGCGAACAGGTCTCTGGAAAAATTATATTTATCAGCGGAAGAATGTCCTAGGTCGCTTCCAGAGGCCTTTCTTCTTATGGATCTTCGCTGCGACTGGCTCCTGTGCCGGCTCCTGTGCCGACTGCTGTCTCAAAACGCTGCGCTGAATATGCTGCTGCTGATGATGACAATGCTCTGGTGCATATTCTTTGATCTTCTCCTGTTGCTCCAGGACTGCACGGCTGCTCTTGTACAGTCGGTGGCTTTGGGGAGTCCACCTGGAGGTCGGCGTGTGCAGCTTCCGAGGGGACACTGTGGGAGACAGCAGAGAGGGATGAAACGGACAGTGGTCAGTATTAAAAACACGAGGACAGGGCGATGATTGCATCGATGTTCAAAATTTATTTTGGTAAACGTTGGAATTTTCATTGGTAAGGTCACCGAATTCCTGCCCCCAACCCTGCTCAATGCGTTCCACCACGAAGCACTTTGTTTGATTGATGCTGCGATGCTCATTGATTCCGACCAGCCATCCTGTCATTCATTGGCTTCCCCATCACTAATGTATAGTATTACCACGGCCATAGTTCTTATAAATTTAATATCTTGATACCTCTACTAATGTCAAGGACTCAATTTACTAGGTTGACCGTTTCCTGAGCTCTACCATGCACACGCATTATATTAGAGGACAAACTATTTATCTTCCTCCTTTCCATACTCTGACTATCTTATGATCTTGTGTTTAAGTGTTGAGATAATAACAAATATACAGCCCTTTGTCAATCTATTACTAAGTGGAAAATGCCTCCGCACTGCCATGAAAGTCATGGGAAGTGTTTTACCATTCGTCACTGTTCTTGTCACTACGGGTGGGTGCACAAGGCTACCTGGGATCTGTTCTAAATATCACTCGCCACTCATGTTAGCCGTGGCTGAAAATTCACAGTGCAGCAAAGAAACAATTGTGTGACTGGTTCCGTCATATAAGTGTTTAAAACGTTTCATCATTGAATTCTGGCTGCCACCTCCTCCCCCGTGTTGGCAATGCCGTCTGCTACTTTTCATCAGCGAGTCGTGGAACTCCCTGGGCTGTGGGCACGTGCTTGCTCTGGTGGCGAGGTCATTATCCGGAGCAGCGGCGGTGACATTTGTGGTGGTGGCTGTGCTCACGGCAGTCATGGTGGCATCTTCCTTGCTGTGAACACAAGAAACAAAAAGCGGCAAAATGTCAAAAGGCTGAACTCTGCAATAGAATGCAGAATAAGGGGCAAGTAGCTAGTCGTAATCAACTATTTATCACAGTTGATTATAGTGGAATAAATTATGTTCACCATAATTTGTGTTTACAATGTGAGAAAGGCTATCGCAATTGTTACAGCAAAGAACCATAGCTAGCCACAACCACTCAATAACCTCCACTATCCACAACAACCATGCCACAACCATACAGCCCTTTCACGATTGTTTATCCCTGTGTTGTGTTCATCACTCGTTACTTAACTTGCACTTCGGCCTGACTCCAGGGTTTCTGGCAACGTCATGGCTCACCAACCACCCCCTTTTGATCAAGGGTTTAAGCCGTTATTGTGCCGATCATGTCAGATCTTCACCAATTTCTCTCTTCTCTGAGAAAACCAGACCATTATCGCTCGCTCGACGGGCTACGGATGAAAACTCAATGGGAGGGTTGGTCTGATTCCGGGATGACGTCTCAAATCGCCTCTGTCTTAGGTGAGCACAGCCTTGGTGTCAAAAGGGATACGTCAATCCCAGCTCACTCTCAGCACCATTCATGTCCCTGTCACTGCTGCTGGAACGGCTGTCCGAGTTGTCCCAGCTCACGGCATCCCACGGTGGACCAACGGCCAGCTCGTCCGTTTGGACAGCGGCGTCGACCTGCCCCTTGATTGTGCCGTGCTAGCATCCCGCTCCGCTAGCCGCGTGTCTGCTGATTGTGCGTTTGTGCAGCTACAGTGGCAACTCATCTGCAGATTGTTCACTGCGCTTGCTTTTACTCACTCCGAGAGGACTTTCTTCTTCCGGGACTGCACCGTGACCGCCTCCTTTTCCACCTCCTGTCCCAAGCAGGTGCCCTGAGTCGACCCCGCCCTGGACTCTGGTATGTCAATTTCCAGAGTCCGTTCGTAGCCAATGCGCATGAATTTAAGTTTAATTGTTTTTTGCTGATGTGGCTGCTGCACCTGCAAGTCTTTAACTGCTCCTTTTTATTGTCGTCTACACAGGTTTTCCTGTGAAGTACCGCGTTGCTGTGAGTTCGACGATCCAATGGTCGCATGTACAGCTTCCTAGGGGACACTGGGATACAGCGGAGAGAGATTAAACGGACAGTGGTCAGTATTGGAAACATAAGCAAAGCGATGATTGCATCGATGTTCAAAATACCTTTTGGTAAACGTTAGAATTTTCTTTGTTATGGTCACCTAATTCCTGCCCCAAACCCAGCTCAATGGACCCACCACGAAGCAATTTAATTGATTGCCGGCGACGATCATTGATTCATTCCAGCCATCCTGTTGTTCATTGGCTTCTTCATCAATAATGGATAGTTATTACCACGGCCATAGTTCTAATAAATTTTATATCTTGATACCTCTGCTAATGTCAAGGACTCAATTCATTAGGTTGACCGTTACGTACATGTTATGTATATCGTTTATTGTTAAATTTGAATCGCAGTTCCTTTGATTACTGTTGTTAGATTGTTTTTACAGCTTTATTTTGGTGTTTTTGAAAACATGGTTAAGCCATGTTTCTTGCGGAAGTGCGGAGTTGGCCTGATAACTTTAATCTAAATTGTCTTATGGTTGTTATTGTTTGACTTGCATCACACTGGGATTTTTGCACACAGCGTTGTAATGCAGTGGGTTTTTTTTCTGGAAGATTTGCTGGTTTATCAAGGATGTTTCTGTTGCGTGTCGTCGCTTTTAGATGTTCTCTTCATACTTTGTTTGTTGCGGTTGCACCCGACTCAAGAGCCGCATGGCTCACAGGGCTATACCTAAATAATGAAACTTGAACCTGAGCTCTACCACACACACTCATATTACACGACAAACTATGCATCTTCCTCCTTTCCACACTCTGACTATCTCATGATCTTGTGTTTAAGTCTGTTGTAAGATTATAAATAATAAGGAATATACAGCCCTTTGTCAATCCATTGATGAATAAAAAACCGTCATACCCGGAAGTCATGGGAAGTGTTTTACCATTTGTGACCGTGCTCGACACTACGGATTGATTCACGAGGCGACCTGGAATCTATTCTAAATATCACTCACCACTCATGTTAGCTGCGGCTGATAATTCACAGTGTAGCAGACAAACGACTGTGCGACTGTTTCCGTCATATAATTGCTTCCAACGTTTAATGAATACTTGTTGGCTACCCCCTCCTCCCCCGAGTTGGCAATGCCGTCTGTTACTTACCCTTCGCCAGCGGGTCTTGGGACTCCCTGGACCCGCGGGCACGTTGTTGCCCTGGTCGCACGGGCCAGCATCCGGAGCATCAGCAGCAGTGGCAATGGTGGTGCTATGAACACAAGAAACAAAAGTGACATAATTTTTAAAAGGCTGAACTTTGCAATAGAATGGAGAAAACAGGCACTTAGATAAATAAAATAATGAAGTGAATGAAAACACTAATGTAGACTGTAGCTTGGTTCTTAATTGGAGTGAGTGTACTGGTAGTCTATAATGTAGACTGTAGCAATGGTTAAGCTGGGTGAGTGTACTGGTAGTCTATAATGTAGACTGTAGCCTGGTTCTTAACCTGAGTGAGCGTACTGGCAGTCTATAATGTAGACTTGTTATTGGTTCTTTCAGTAATATAAATAAATAAACTATGACGTTTCGATCGCAACACAAAAGGTCATCGGTAAAACGGGTTAGCCTCTAAAGGCAAACTTTATATAAGGGTTTAAAGCTTTCGTGACTGCAATGATTCATCTTCTTTGGTTCTTTCGGTAAAGTCACGTAGAATGAGAATAAAATAATAAATTGTTATTTTATTTTATCAATTTATTATTTTATTCTCATTCTACGTGACTTTACCGAAAGAACCAAAGAAGGTTTATATAAGGGTTTAGAGATGGGCGTAGCCCAAGTGTGCCAGCAGCATGGGTGGGGCAGCTAATGTTAATGTAGGAAAAGACAAGCAACTACACCAATCAAAGGCCCACCAGGCAATTATTGGTGTAGCGTTTTGATGAGGGAATTCTTTTGGAATGGATGGTGCTGAGAATCAAGTTTTAGGTAGGCGTCAGGATGGGTTATTTTCCTGTAGACAATGACTCATTGAGCCATCTGTTCTGTTTTTGAATAGGACATCCAAGAAAGGTAGCATGCCATCCTTTTCTACCTCCATGGTGAATTTGATGGATGGGTGTATGGAATTGATGTGGTTGAGGAATTGGTTCAGAGCTGGTCAGCCATGTGGCCAGATGACAAACGTGTCATCCACGTACCTCATCCACAAGGACGGGTATAGAGTGGATGCCTGGATGGCGTCCGTCTCATTTCTTAAAATGAAAATATTGGCTACAACCGGAGATAAGGGAGAACCCATTGAGGTGCCTTCAGTTTGTAGGATGTTTCATTTCAGGTGAAGTATGTATTGGTGAGGCAGTGTCTCACCAGGGCCGGTACATCAGCATTCAATACTTGTTGGACCAAATCTTCAATTATTGCAATGGTATCGGACACAGGAACTCTGGTGAACAAAGAAACTACATCGAAACTAACAAGCACATCACCTGGGGACAGTGAGATGTCTTTTATTGACGATACCAGGTGATAAGAATAGGGTTTTTCCCCTTTTTTCTGGCAACAAAACTGAAACCTTTTTACAAGGATTCATGTCTGCATTAACCACAATACCTGCAGTCAAAATGCAAACAAAAACATACTATGATAATATATGCATTGTCCTTGAAACTGATTGGTCCACACCAAGGGACGACTTTCTTTTGAGCCTCGACCATTATGGTGCTCGACCAGATGACGCCAAAAGGCGTACAGCTCAAAGACAATGCACTATCAAAGTAATGAGGGCTCGGGGTGAGCATCTACATTTTTAGACCTTTGCCAGTACCAAAATATAATAATAGAGTTTTTCCCCTTTTTTCTGGCAACAATACTGAAATCTTTTTACAAGGATTCATGTCTGCATTAACCAGACATAATTATATAATTATAATACCCCCCCTCCGCCTCAAATCACTGCACCTGAAATGAGTTAAATGATGACGTCACCCTGCTGCTCTATTTAAGACCGGGAGCAAGCGAGGGCTTTACCATTCTGGCGAATTGCCCAATGATGCTGGATGTAATTACCAGCGAAACGTCGTACTCAAATTGTAAATGTTGTGGATTCACTCTTCAACACACCGGTGGGCTAAAGTAGTGAACTATTTGTCTTTTGTCAACGTGACACTTTTTTGCTGATTGGCTGTGTCGGGTGGTGGAGGGTTACGACACATTTATAAATAACGCGATCTAACCCAAAAACCTTTATTATGAATAATATTGGTCGCGAAAGCCTACGTGTTTAACTATATTCCGTTTGTATAACCTTGCAAACACCAAGGAATACGAATTCCCAGGATCAAGAAACTTACCTCTTAACCCAGGATATCGGAAATAAAATGATAAAGCATACACACGTATGACGAAAATTAATAAAAACTGAGGAAGGGCCAGGATAACGGGGTGAATCACAATCTTGTTGAACATAAAACAAATGATATTTTAGCGATGGTAAACCGACGGCAACGGAGAGAGAGCCTCCCGGCCGTCTTTGTCTTCCCGCAGAACGTGATAAGAATATGCATACGCTCAAGAGAGCACTTTCCCTTGAAATAAAATAAAAAAACCACGATGGAAAACTAACACAACAGACCTTGAGTCACATACAGAATCATAACTGCAAGTGGTACGATACCAAACTATGATGGAATAAAATGTTAACTTTAAAAACCTTAACCCAACCTTTGTGTGTAGGAAAAGGTCATACAGGGGGGGAACTGGCCCTCCCTCTCGCACAGGCAGACAGAGAGACGCCTTCGAGACGACTTGTAACATCTGTTTTTTTATGGTTTATGGAAAGAGGAGGGCAACAGAACCATGCCATAAATGACACACACACTGACACATACGGACACACACACTCCAGACCACGACACACAGCTAAATCACGGAGCTCCGCCCTTGTAAGGAGGAGCCATCAGCCAGCGGACAAGCTCAGCAACCAGCCGACCAGCTCAACTCATCCCTGCAGAAGAAGATCAACCATCAGAAGATCAACCACCACCGACGCAGAAGTAGTCTCTACAGCTCACCATAATGGCGAGACTCGCTGTTTAGCGACAGGCTACGCGGTGCGAGTCAGCACCATCAAAAGGAGCATCGCAACGAACGTGTATCGCCAGCGCCAGATAGCGCAACCAGTAATCATCACGTCAACGACACAACCGTGAGCCAGCCACCATGCCGACGGCGCACAACCGCCACTACGAGCGAGCTGTGATCGCCATCTACCGACGACCATCGCAACTACAGAGGGAAAAAAGTATTTGATCCCCTGCTGATTTTGTACGTTTGCCCACTGACAAACAAATGATCAGTCTATAATTTTAATGGTAGGTTTATTTGAACAGTGAGAGACAGAATAACAACAACAAAATCCAGAAAAACGCATGTCAAAAATTTTATAAATTGATTTGCATTTTAATGAGGGAAATAAGTATTTGACCCCCTCTCAATCAGAGAGATTTCTGGCTCCCAGGAGTCTTTTAAACAGGTAACGAGCTGAGATTAGGAGCACATTCTTAAAGGGAGTGCTCCTAATCTCAGCTTGTTACCTGTATAAAAGACACCTGTCCACAGAAGCAATCAATCAGATTCCAAACTCTCCACCATGGCCAAGACCAAAGAGCTCTCCAAGGATGTCAGGGACAAGATTGTAGACCTACACAAGGCTGGAATGGGCTACAAGACCATTGCCAAGCAGCTTGGTGAGAAGGTGGCAACAGTTGGTGCGATTATTCGCAAATGGAAGAAACACAAAAGAACTGTCAATCTCCCTCGGCCTGGAGCTCCATGCAAGATCTCACCTCGTGGAGTTGCAATGATCATGAGAACGGTGAGGAATCAGCCCAGAACGACACGGGAGGATCTTGTCAATGATCTCAAGGCAGCTGGGACCATAGTCACCAAGAAAACAATTGGTAACACACTACGCCATGAAGGACTGAAATCCTGCAGTGCCCGCAAGGTCCCCCTGCTCAAGAAAGCAAGTATACATGCCCGTCTGAAGTTTGCCAATGAACATCTGAATGATTCAGAGGACAACTGGGTGAAAGTGTTGTGGTCAGATGAGACCAAAATGGAGCTCTTTGGCATCAACTCAACTCGCCGTGTTTGGAGGAGGAGGAATGCTGCTTATGACCCCAAGAACACCATCACCACCGTCAAACATGGAGGTGGAAACATTATGCTTTGGGGTGTTTTTCTACTAAGGGGACAGGACAACTTCACCGCATCAAAGGGACGATGGACGGGGCCATGTACCGTCAAATCTTGCGTGAGAACCCCCTTGCCTCAGCCAGGGCATTGAAAATGGGTCGTGGATGGGTATTCCAGCATGACAATGACCCAAAACACACGGCCAAGGCAACAAAGGAGTGGCTCAAGAAGAAGCACATTAAGGTCCTGGAGTGGCCTAGCCAGTCTCCAGACCTTAATCCCATAGAAAATCTG